TCTCTGTCTTAAAATAGGCTTCAAAGCTGATATTCACTTGTTTCTGAGGCACCAGTTTTTAGGTTTCATAAGGCCTCTTTTGGAAAACAAAAGTCTGCAAGATTCTCATTGAGGTCAGGCTTGTAAATTTGTTTTGCTGCTCATTTTTTATCTTTCCTAGTAACATACAGAGGAAAAAAAGGAAAAATCCTATCAATACCAAATCTCTCTCTCTCTCTCTCTCTCTCTCTCTCTCTCTCTCTCTGTGTGTGTGTGTGTGTGTGTGTGTGTGTGTGTGTAACCTAAAATGTGGACTTCAACCTGTGGGTTGCAACCCCTCTAGAGTTGAATAACCAACCCTTTTACAGGGGTCGAATGTCAGATATACTGCATATAAATGATTTACATTATGATTTAGAACAGTAGCAAAGTTACAGTTATAAAGTAGCAATGAAAATAATCTTATGGTTAGGGGCGGTCACCACAACATGAGGTGTGGAGTATTAAAGGGTCGAAGCATTAGGAATGTTGAGAGCTATTGCTCTATAATTTTTTGTCATATTTTGAGGCAGGGTCCCTCCCTGAACCCAGAGCTTGACAATGACTAGAGTAGAGGGCCATTGTGCTCCAGGGATCCATCTATCTGCCCTGTACAGTACCCACACTACTTGGGTTATAGAAATGGCCACCCTTTTATGTAGATGCCCAAGAACCTCAAACCAGGCCCTTATGTTTACAGCAAGGACCACAAAATGAGCCACCTCTCCTCACACCAGGTGCTTTGTTTTGTTTTGTTTTGTTTTGTTTTAACAGGTTTTTAGTACTCTTACCATCCATCACGCATGATTGTAAATGTTGGGTGCACTTTCAGTGATTCAGTCTAACAACCTTGTCATCATCATCCCCCTGTATTAGTGGGTACTCTTCAACCCAGAACTTGTGAGTATGAGAGTCAGATTCAGTCCCATCGAATCAACCTGCAGATCTTTGAGAAGACAGCAAAAGAGTCAGTGGGAAACACTTACTCATGTCTGAGCTGAGAAGAAGGAAGACGAACTCTGAATGGAGAACCTGAGCGCCCTTGTTCTGATGACTGAGCAGCCTTGTCAATCATCTTGCATTATCCTCCACAGGTCCAAGGACCAGGTGTATCTGCACTGGCCTGCGTCTACCATCTCCCATGGCATTCCTGAATTCCTCTATACTGGTCCACTTCTTCTTTTATATCACTCACAACCTTATTGATGCTATTTGTTGACTTGATTTATTTATTTGTATTATTGCTCTCGTTGTCTCCTGGATTATGAACTACAAGAAGGCAGGATTTGGGTGCACTTTGCAATTTTGTCTTTTTTGTTCACTGATCTCACTCCAGCACTTCCACAGCTGGCACATGTTAGCATCTAAGTTAATAACTTTAGTTGAGAGGAAAGAGCTGGAGAATTCTGTTGGCAAGGAGGCTCCAGGTGTAGCTCAGTAGAGAGCTTGCCTAGCATGCCCCAAATCCTTGATTCTATGCCCAACACTGCATATAGCTAAGTGTATTGGCTCGCTTCTATTACCCATGCCCCAGGTTACAAGAGACCAGAGCACCGGGCTGGGCGTGAGAACTCAGTGCCAGTCCTGTGTCCTGCTTGGTCCAGGGATGCCCGACCTGTGCTCTGTGAAAGGAAGTGATTGAGAGATTGAATGCCCCATCTAAGCTCTGACCTCATCTGCCCTACCTGGTGAAGTTTCTGTTTCAGGATTGCAGTCTTGTGGTACTCAGACAACTGCTTCAATTCTTCTCTCTCTACAGTTTTGTACAGATAATTGCAGAGTTCAAACAGAAACCCTTTCCTTCAAGCTAGGTGAGGAAGGGCGAACGTGTTTTAAGCTAAGCCTTAATATTTTTAGTATGTTTTTATTTATTATAAGTTTATTTTCAAATATGTGTGTGTGAATGTGAGAGCCAATGGAGTTCAGAGATGCTGGATCCCCTGGAGCTGTAGGTACAGGCGGCTCAGTCACCAGACATGGGTGCTGGGAGTTGAACTCAGGTCCTTTGGAAGAGCAGCAGATGTTCTTAACCAATGAGCCATCTCCCCAGTCCTGATGTGTATTTATGATGCACCGAATGCAGAAAGAAAAGGACATAACGCTTTAGAGGCAGTAATGGGCCCTAGAAATGGAAGAGAGCATGGGCTTTATTATTTATTTATTTTGGTAGTTTGAGACAGGGTTTCTCTGTGTAGCTTTGGAACCTGTCCTGAAACTCTGGGCTCTGTAGCCCAGGCTGGCCTTGAACTCACAGAGATCTGCCTGACTCTGCCTCCCAAGTGCTGGGCCACTGCTGCCTGGTGAGCATGGGCTTTCCAGCAGTCAGCAAAACAAGGACATAGTAGGAATTTCAGCTCAGTGGCCACTGTTCTCCTATTTCTTTTTACATACTAGAGTTCTAGCTCACCTCTCATACTTAGGCCCCCTTTAGGGGACACAGGGCAATGAACTTGACTGAAGTATGCTTCAAGGTTCTTAGGTGTCCAATCAATCCGAGGTCACGTAGCTTTCATTTGGCTCCCACATACAGATGAGATCCTGAGGTTGTGCTATGGGGCTTGTAAGAGACAGTGGACAGAAGATCCGTTGAACAGAACCTTTGAAAAGGGTGGCTATTTTCTAGTCTGGGAGTGGGGACTAGATGGGATGGTAAAGGGCACTTTACCTAGTTTTCAACCTTGTCACACCATGAGAGAGAAGCTAGGCAGTACCACCAACCCCCCACAACAACCCACAAGACAGCATGTGTTACCTGGAATAAGTACTTCCACTGCTAACCTTGCACCTGTCTGGCCAAGGACCTGGGAACCCCTTGCCCAGCCAGAGTTCTCTGTCCCTGACAACAACCACATAACCAAAGCTGTCTGGCCCTTCCTTGGGGCTCCATTTTTCTGTAAAGCAAGACCCCCCCCCAACTTGAAGTTAAAAACCTGTGATGAATGAAACTTTAGGGAAATCCTGTGTGTAATCTGTTACCCCAAAGAGAAATAGATGTTTGAATTGAAGGGAGAGGCAGACTTCCTCACACCACCTCTCCAAAGACTTTCAGAAACTTCACTGTGACAGGGACCTGAGTGAAGCTTCCTCCAGCCCTTTGGCTCTAGCGGTCTCCAGGGTCTGTAGCTCAGTCTTCCTTGAAATACCCCCAAATACCACCCAGTGAGTCTAGTGGGGCAAGACACTTTCCTTCTCCCTCCTTAGTTTTAGTCCTCTGTGATCTGTGAATCTGACTGAGGTCACTGAAGATAAATGACCTCATCTGTTTATTTCACTACAGTGCTTAGCCCAGAACCTATTGGACAGGGTGTCACTTTACAGCCTTGAACTCACAAGGTAGAGAAGCTGGCTGGGCTTAGTTACATGCCCTTCTTGCCTCTGCAGGAATCAGACACGCCCCCACACCCAGCTCCTGGAAGAGGGGGTGGATCTTTAGGTATTAGTTCTTCTCAGAAAAAACTATTCTCTATATTAAAATGTAAGATCACCTACCAAAGGTGCAAGTATTTATGTAAAATACAGGCAAGTTAAAAGCTTGTTGGTTTTACTGTTTATTCCAAATATTGAGTTGGAATCCACATCTTGCCTATAATGGTTTGGGAGTCAATGTACATTAAAGTGCTTTGATAATGGAATATGATGATTGGCACGTGCCTATAATCTTAGCATTTGGAAGATGAAGGCCAGAGGATCAGTCCATTCAAGATCATCCTCAGCCAGAAGATTCTGAAAAATACAAAAAACTAGAGAAGCTGCAGAGATAGCTCAGGGGTTAAAAGCAGTGGCTGCTCTTGCAGAGAACTTGTGTTGGGTTCTTAGCCTTTAACTCCAGGGGATACACTGTGGGCATACTCGCATACAAAATAAACTTCCAAGTGCTTTAACATCCATTGATAGTATTCCGCAGAATAGAACCAGTTATTGTAATATTAAATATTTTAATAACTGATTTCTGATCTGTAGAATCCACAAACCTATTTCCTTCTACCAAGTGGGAATAGTACCCTCCCCTAACCAGGATTCCACAATGTGAAAAGGCCCAGTGAGGTCTAGCTAGGAAGGATAACATGGACTCTCGTCATTTAATTGCTATTTATTTTCATAAACATGAGGTATTTCAAAGTGCTATAAGGTGCAGCACTAAATATATACATTTTGAAGAAATTAAACACAGAACTTTGCCATTTTACCCAGTTCTATGCACCAAACATGAACAAATACAGTAACAAGGAAGAAACAGGCTAGGAAAAAAAGGAATATATATATAGTAAAATTTCTTTACAAAAGTTTCTTAGTTCAAAAAGTGATAAAGTAATATCTACTCAAAACTTTCACAACTCATTTTCATACGAAAATATAAGTATCAAATTTAGTTATGTATCAGCGTCATATTAAAGTATACAGGCCGTGTAGGAATTAGTACAGTACATAACAGATTAACAATATATTTGTATACAAAACATGCTCCTCAAACATTGAGGTATTCTTACAGTACTTAGGTGTGAACTTCCAGTCTAATACTGGCCGCAAGAGCCACCTCTCATTACCCAGGGCGTATACAAAAGGCGGGTGTATCAATGGTATTTACACAAGCGTTCCCAGGGGCATCAAATGGCAAACCCCCTTCTGTGGCATCTGCTGGAACTTAAGCACCATTGTAAAAAGAAGGAATGACTCTGTTTGGAAACTTGGACCGGAACAAGGTGACTTCACAGCCTCCTGAAGCTCCCAACTGTCCCGGAACTTCCATGGCTGTCACCAGGTGATGTGGAGGAGGAAAACAAGCCACCCAGCATCCCATAACTCAGTTTTCTTTTTCTCTCCAAGGTCATGGCAGAACCCCGAGTCCTGCCCCCTACCCAGATCCAAACTCGACAGGGGACCGATTTGAAAGTAAACCAACATTCTTAATGTCAACACAATGTTTGTTTAAAAAAAAAAATCAAAATGTGCAAAGTGGCAGTGACTGTCCGTGTGAGAAACATTTAGCAAGTCCGAGCATGTTCGATCTTCTTTAGCAACTGCTGCTGTCTCGCCTGCAGTTTCTCCTTTTCCTGCAGGAGCTGGTGCTCGCTGGTCTGCAGGGCGTGGACGTACTCGGTGGCCTTTTTCAAGATGACCACCTTGGCAGCCTTCTCGTTCTTCACCAGCTCAGGCACATGGTCCCTGAGGGTCAGGAAGCTGGAACGCAGGTCATTGCGGCGCTGGCGCTCCAGGATGTTGTGGTTGCGGCGACGCTCGCTGTCCTCCGAGTCTGAGTTTCGGGGGCTCAAGCTCTTAGCTTTTGCTGGGACCACATTCTTGAGGGGGCGTGGAGAAACCTCGCTCTTGAGTTTCTTCTGTGGTGGCGCATCCTCGCTCTCCACATAGGGTGAGGGAGCAGCATAATTGTGCTGCTGGTGGATGGGAACACAGCGCTTGAGAATCAGCTCGCCAGGCTGTGCCCGCCCCACACCCAGAGCTGAGGTCTTGGGACGCACAGTGATGGTGAAGGTGGTAACAGCCTTGTTGTTAGAGGAGGAGCGTCTCTTCTCCACGGTGACCACATCTATTTCCTCCTCTTCATCTTCCTCCTCGTCATCTTCATCATCTTTGAGGGGATAAACATTTTCAGTAAAACATTGTGAAATTAACATATACACACTATTTAAGTCTAGGGACAGGACCCAGATAGGTTTGCTGAAATATACTGATCACAATTCAGAAAAGATGCACACACACACACCCCATTCCTTCTCTAGGCATCTATATTTGATTTCATTTTTTATGGAAGGCTTTAAGCAAGTGGGGTGGGGCCAGCAAAGCTCTTGCTTAGTGTGGAAGGACACCTCCTCCTCCTACTGGTTAGATCCCTGGTATCAAAAATAAGACCAAAAAACTTTTGAGCAGGTGGCAGAACTTGAGCTTACGTCACAAGGAACAATGGGCAGTAGGATTCTGGAAAAGGTTACTTAACCTCCCTCATCCTCAGTTTCCTCAGCTATTCAATGGGGGTAACACCACAGCGTTTGAGTTTGGCAGACAATATGTAGACTTGGCGACAGATGCTCCGTAATAGGAGCTTTTAGCATAATCACCAGCCAGTCTGCCCCATGGATTTATTTATACACACTTCCACAGCCACCCTTCAGACTGGAGGCTCCTCATTTGGTAAAACACATGGCTGGGTTTGATTTTTCCATCCTTAAACTCGAGGAACAATTTCATTCACTAAGAATAACAACCTTCGCTTCTGCAGACAAGAGTTCTACATAGTAAGCAGTTTTTCATCTAGGCAAAGATCGAATCCCAGTCATAAAGCTAGCCCACAGTAGCTACACATCCCAACGGGAGCAGTGCCCAGGCAGCAGCAGCAGCAGCAGCAACAAAATTCTATGTGTTTTCTTTCTGACTTCCTTGGTTACTACCAGGCTAGGAGAGAAAATTGTGGTGTAAAAGAAAATGCAAGCATGAAAACCAAAACACATCTTCTGCTTGACCTAGCGAGGACCGGAAGGCTGAACAATTGTGAGGTTTCTTCTGAAGCTGAAACCCTGGACTGTTCCAGTCTGTGGGTCCCTTTAAGCCAGTGTTTTGGTTTTCAGCCAAGAAGACAGCTGTTGGAAGGAAGTGCTTCCTCACCGAAAGCTGTCAAGGCGCAGACATTAAAGGGACAGAGCCCTTTCAAAGCGCAGGCTTATCACCAAGTTTCCTCCCAGGAGCCTCAAATGATCCCTCCTCAGCCCAGAAGGAAATGTACTTTTTATTCTTTGCTATTGTAAAAACACTGGCTTTCATGGTTTAAAAGGAGAGCTAGCTACAGCTCCAAGGACAAGGGCACACAGGACTCAGGTAGTGCTGTAGGTGATTCCACGGCCTCAAGGAAAAAAGCTTGTTTTTCTTTTTGTTGCCCCCCCTTCCCTCTCAAAGAAGACCCAGATTAACTGCACACAACAGAACCAGTGAATGTTTCCAGGTTGTGTGCATTCCTAAGGAAGAGACCCGCCCTCACCTTCAAGGGCACTGGGTTACCAAACACAACTCAACTCAATTAGGTCAGAAATTCCAGCTAGGAAACACAACTGGACCAGCCCTCACTCAAAACCGGAAAGAGGTTCCCTGAAAATATACACAACTACTAATGCACTTGCTGCCAGCTGCTGCGCTGGAGGGGGGGTGTCGCCCCCACCGTCTTTCAGATCCTCTGCCTGACTTGCGTCAGGCACAACGCCGCCTGCTGGCCACGCACCAAGCGCAAATAGCCCACCACCCACGGAGGGCCCACAGTCCTGGGGGGGGGGGGGGGAGGAGGTGAAAACCAAAAATCCCAAAA